CATGGTGTCATGGTGGGAGTGCCGAAGAGATCACATGGCAAAGCACATTGGTGTGCTCTCTCTTCTTCTTTGTTGTGTGTGTGTGGGGGGTTGGTTTTCTGAGACAGAGTCTTCATGTAACCCCTACTGGCCTGGAACTCACTATGTAGACCAGGCTGGTCTTGATCTCACAGATATCTGTCTGCCTCTGCCTCCTGTGTACAGGAGTTAAAGGTATATGCCACCACGTCTGGCTTTTTTTTTTTAACTCACTGAGTCCACTTAGTGCTGTCTCTATGTGCATGAGTGTAGGACCATCATCCACTGGTGCATGGGTTAGGGTCACTTAAATTTTTTTTTCATTTATTTATTTTTATTTTATGTGTATGAGTATGTATGCCAGCATGTATGTATGAGTATGTATGAGTATGTATGCCAGCATGTAAACACACTCATGTCATGAAATGCTGGTGTAGGCCAGAAGAGGGCATCAGATCCCCTGAAACTGAAATTATTGATGGTTGTGGGTCACCATGTGGGTGCTGGGAACTGAGCCCCTGTTTTGGAGAGCAGCCAGTGCTCTTAATCACCAAGGTATCTCTCCAGTCCCATGGGCTTACTTTATTTATGTGTGTGTGTGTGTGTGTGTGTGTGTGTGTGCATATGTGTGTAGTTTGTGAGCTTGTACAAGTGTATGTCTGCCATGTGCATACAAGAGCCCATAGATTCCTTGGAACTGAAGCTACAGATGGCTGTGAGCTGCCACGTAGGTGCTCCAGGTTTTCTGCAAGAGCAGTAAGTCTCTGAACTGATGAGCCACCTCTCTAGTCCCTAGGCTCACTTTTTTTTTTCCTTTTGGTCTTTTTGAGACATGGTCTCCCTATAGCCCCAGCTGACCTGGAACTTGCTATGTAGACCAGGCTGGCCTCAAACTAACAGAGAGATCTGCCTGCCTCTGCCTCCCAAGTGCTGGAATTAAAGGTGTGTGCCACCATGCCCAGCTCCTTGGGCTCGCTTTTTTTTTTTACTTTTATTTATTATTTTTATTTTATTTATTTTTTATAATTTTTAAAAATTTTTATTTTTTTTTCTTTTATGTGTATGTGTGTATTGCCTGCATGTAGGTAAGTGCACCCATGTCGTGAAATGCCTGAGGAGGACAAAAGAAGCTGTTGGATCCCCTGGGACTGGAGTTACAGACAGCTGTTAGCTGCCATGTGGGTGCTGGGAATTGAACCCAGGTCTTCTGCAAGAACAGAAGCAACTGAGCCATCTCTCCAGCCCTACAATAACCAGTGTTCTTAACTGCTAAGCCATCTCTCCAGTCCCTGGGCTCACTTTTAAAACACACACACACACACACACACACACACACACACACACACACACGGGGTAGAGGGGGGCAGGCTTGGAGAGTTTGTAAGCCTTGCCCCACTTCCAGTTGCTCTGTTTCTGTGTCTGCTTGAAGATGTGAGTTCTCAGGCTGGAGAGATGCCTCAACGGTTAAGAACACTGACTGTTCTTGCAGAGGACCTGGGTTCGATTCCCAGCACCCACATGACAGTTGACAACTGTCTCCATAATTCTAGTTCCAGGGGATCTGACACCTTCTTCTGACCTCCACTGACATTGCATGACACGGGTGCACTTACATACATGCAGGCAATATGCTCATACACATAAAAATAATAAATTAAAAAAAAAAAGATGTGAGTTCTCAGCTTTCTGCTCGAGCTGCCTACTGCCATGCCTCCCCTGCCATGATGGACTCATCTGGAATCATAAGTCAAACAAACTTGTGGCCTTGCTCATGGTATTACCCTCTGTTGACCATCGCCCACTCCTGCTAATCCCCTCTTCTTTCCAACTAGCCCCCTTTCTACTTTAATGTCCTTCATGTGTGTGCGTGTGCATGAGTGTGCATGTTGCCAGTGAGTTTCATAGGGTTCCTTACAGGAGCCTGGTGAGGGTTTGTTTACAGGAGAAGGATACCTTACCAGTGGCTACACCACAGAAGAAAATGTCTCTCTTCTTCCCCTATCAACATTAACTGCATATAAATCCTTAAGAGTGGGGCCTCAGGCTCACTCTATAACCTAGCTTTCTAGGAACTAACCCAGTAGAGACCAGCATCAATCCCTTCCCAGGGACCCAGTATTCCCAGTGACCTCATTGCCTTCCACCAGGCCTCTCAAAGGTTCCACTAGGGGCTAGAGGTGTAGCTCTGAAGAGTACAAGCTTAGCATGTGGGAGGCCCTGGGTTCAACCCCTAGACTCCACAAAGTTCTCCTATTATTGCACTCGGGATCCCTGGAGAACAGCCCACACATGCATCACAGTGATCCCCAGAACAAACTCCTATCTCAGACACCTTCACACTATTGCCACGAATCACAGGGGTTTTTTGGTTTTTTGTTTGTTTGTTTTTTTCCCTGTAGCCCCAGCTGAACTGGAACTCACTATGTAGACCAGGCTGATCTTGATCTCACAGAGATCCACCTGCCTCTGCCTCCTAAGTGCTAGGATTAAAGGCATGTGCCACCATGCCCGGCTGCAATGATAGCTCAGAGCCAACCACACCCGATGAGCCTGCAATCTCAGCTCCTGGAGAGGCGAAGACAGGAGGGTGACTTAGGACTAGGCTACAAGGTAAGACCAGGTCTCAAAAAAGCCAAAGAAGGGGCTGGGGAGATGCCTCAGTGGGTAAAGTGCTTGCTGTACAAACATGAAGACCCGAGTTCAGAACCTCAGTAATCATATAAAAAGTGAGCATGGCAGCCTGCTTCTTGAACCCCAATGCCAGGGAGAAGGGGCTATCACTGGAGTTCACTGACCAGGCAGTCTAGCCAATCAGTGAAAACACCCTGTCTCAAAAACTAAGGTGGGTGGTGATAGAATACACCTAACAGTGACACACTTGCACCCACACATGTGCACACATATATACACAAGTACACATACCACACACACACACACACACACACACACACACACACACACACACATACAAACTGCACGGCATAGCAGTGCCCATCTGCATCCTAGAAGAAAGAGAAAAAATTAGTAACTGGGGCATAATTCCTCTGCCATGCCTTCATTAATTCAACACGCACCTCTGACAGTTGGGCAGAATCTAGGGGGTACCCCACCCCTATCCAGTTCATGGAGATCACCTCTGGAAGTCCCCATTAAGGTTCATCACTGAGATTAAAAACACCCAGAAGAGTATATCCTGACAGAGGAGAGGACAGAGACAGGCAGATCTCTAGAACTCATCGGCCAGCTGGCCAGCCTAGCCAAATCTGAGAGCTCTAGGTTCAGTGAGAGATTCTGCCTCAAAAACTAAGGTGGAAACTGAGCATCGTGGCTCACACCTTTAATTCCAGCACTCAAGAGGCAGAGGCAGGTGAATCTCTGTGATCTGGCCTACACAGTGAATTCCAGGCCAGCTGGGGCTACAGGGAGATCCTGTCTAAAAAAAACATGGTGAAAAGTGATCAAAGAAGATAATGGACAATGGAGGTTGACTTCTGACCTCCACATATATGTACACACATACAAACCAAACAAACTGTCATGGTGGCTTATGCCTGTAATCCAGCTGGAAGGCTGAAACAGGAAGACTGCTATTAGTTCAAAGTTGTCCTGGGCTACACAGGGCTAGATCAGCCAAGGCTACAGAGTGAAACTGTTAAAAAAAAATCAAAACAAACAACCCCCCCAAAATGAACAGTGTTTATAATGAGGAAATATCTTCACTTTCTAAATAGTGCATGAAATAGTAAATGCTCAATCATATCTCACTAAATGAACACAGGGGAGAACCCAGGATTGCATAATAATGACACTATCAACCTCTTCTAGGAGGCTTGGTCAGGAGGCCATTGTGAGTCATAGCTGGCAGAGACAAGTGGGATTAAATGGTCCAGAAATGTGGCCAGGCCTGGGACACAGCTCAGCACCTCCACATTATCTTCCAGGTGAGGCACAACATTCAAGGACTGTCAGGAAAAGAATCTTCTGGAGACTTGTAACCTCAGGGATGGGCCTGGGTGAGGGCTTCTAGAGATGGTTTCCATGAACCAGATGGAGGTTGGGGTACCATTCAGCATCTGCCCAACTGTGAGAAGTGTGTGTTGAATTAATAAAGGCATGGCAGAGGGAACTCTGCCTCAGTTATTTCTCTTTTCTCCTTCCATGGGCAGAAGAGGTGTTTAAAACAACACTCTCTCACACCATAGAAATGGTGCTTACTAGGTGCTGAGGTTAAGGGAAAAGAAGCAGGGAGACTGGGATATGTAGGTGGTCATCTGGACTTTAGAGTAGTCTTAGAGAGTACTCTGCTTGAAACAAAAGTAAACTCAGTGTGTAGAATCCCAGTTACCTTGAACCCTAAGCATAGGTCAAGGCCAAGGCACCTGCCCCAGGATGCCCCTGACCATACTGACCATACTGAACTTTGATCTACACATGTCTTTCCAGCTGGACCAGGACATCATTGGCCTGTGCTGGTGGTATTCCCCTCTTCAGACCAGGGCCTGGCATGGTGCAGGTGCCAGTGCAAGACTCGGAAAACTGAATGATGGTGGCAGTAATGGTGTTGGGGACAGCAGACATCTCACCAGATACTCTGCCAACGTCACACCTAATCTTAGCTGTGTAAGTTCCTCCTTAAAGAATGACTTCTAAACTGCTGTACTTGCCTGGACAGCACCTCAAGATGCGATGGCCGGTTCCCAAAACCACCCCTACCCTAAGCTCTTCCACACATCGGGAACATGACAGCCTCACCTCACTTTTCACCCCCTCATACAGCTAGCTCTGCATTACCTATTCCATGTGGTGAAGTACTGCTCTTGTCTTTGCTACCGCACCTCCACCTGTGGTCTCCCCACCCGAGGTCTGAGAGCAGGGTCCCAGGCCTTTATCTACATCTCTCTTACCCAGGGCCTGACACACATAATTGACAGTGGTCTCAGGAAGGTGGTCTCGGTGAATCAGACTGGGATGACTACGCAGGGATGGGCTCCCCCCAGTGGCCTGCAACTGGTTATCCTGAGATACCCACTGGCCTTGAGGGTGGCAAGGGCTGCCTGTCCTGCGCAGACCTGCTCACCCAGGCATTTGCTCCTCAGATTGGCTCGCCTTCATCTTTCGGGACTCCAGGGCTCCCGACGCAAGAGCGCAGCCCCCAGCGACTCCCATCCCCCGCTTCCTCCGCTACACCAGCGCGCCCCACGTGGCCCACCCGCCCCTCGCCCTGGAGACCTTCGAGTGCCTGACCGCGAGCCACGCCAGAGGCCTGTGGGAACAGCTGCAGCACTTCTGGGCTGACCACTTCTCGCGCCGCTTCTCGCCGCGGAGGCCGCCGCTGCGCCGCAACTCGTCCAAGTCCACCTTCTACCTGCTGGACCACCGCACGCGCCAGGCCGAGCTGGGGCTGAGCTACGGCGCGCCGCGCACGCGCCTGAGCAACGAGACCTTCGTGTTCCGCGGCGGCCGCTGGACCGCGGAGGGGCATGTGGCGCGCGCGCGGCCCCCGCTGCCCTCACCCGCCGGCTTGGCTTGGAAGCCGCAGGTGCAGCGGGGCAAGAGCCAGGTGCTGCTGGAGGAGAACAACTACCTGGAGCTGCAGCAAGAACTGCTCATGGACATGCTGGTCGAGACTACGGCGCGCATGCACCTGCTGGAGAAGAAGGTCGATTCCCAGACCGACGCCGCGGCCGAGGCACTAGCCTGTCAGAGGAAGATGCGCAAGCGCTAGGGCGCCGGCATGCTCAGGATCCAGCCGCACGCTCTGGAGTCGCGGTGACGCAATAAAGCCCGGTGCCACACACGCGCCCCTCGACCCTCGCCCACCGCCGGGTGCGAACGTGGGGCCTGTAGGGCTGGCAGGGGGGTCCCGGGGGCGGGGGGGGGTGCGCTGGATGGAGCAGGGGTGTAGAGCGAGGCAGGGATGCATAGCGGGGCAGGGCAGGGGCGGACCGCGGGACCAGAGCAGGCGTGGACAGCAGGACGGGTGGACAGCGGGACAGGGGTGGACACCACAGCAGGTTATGTGCTGTCCCTCGGAGCACCACCTGGGAGGCTTGTGGGCAGCACACGGTCAGCGGGTGGGTAGGGAGCATAGCAGGTGAGGACTCTCTAGGCCATCCAGAGATGGAGGGACAATGTGGTGAGCAGAGAACCTGCAGTGCTCAAGGAATGGAAGCCCAGGTGTGCAGGGTGGAGGTTGCACTTGGCTGTTGGTCCTGGGCATTTAAGATTTCTGGGGGACTGGAGATATGGCTCAGCGGTTAGGAGCACTCTGTACTCTTGTAGAGGATCTGGGTTTGAGTCTCAGCACCCACATGGCAGCTAACAACCATGCGTAGCTTCAGTTCCAGGGCCTCTGACGCCCTCTTCTGACCTCCATGGGCATTGTATTACATGAGTATACCTACCTACACACAAGCAATACTCTCCTACAAATAAAAATAATAAATCTTTTTTTTTAAAGACGCTTTCTAGCCAGGCGTGATGGCACACGCCTTTAATCCCAGCACTTGGGAGGCAGAGGCAGGCAGATCTCTGTGAGTTCGAGACCAGCCTGGTCTACATAGGGAAGGCCAGGCCAGCTGGGGCTATAGGGAGACCCTGTCTCAAAAAGACCAAAAAATAAATAAATCAATCAATAAAAAAGGAGCTTTATGGAAACCTTCAGCTCTGCCTCCCTGCACAAGTGATTGTTTTGTTTTGTACCCTTTGGAAAATCACGTCTCTTTTTTTTTAATATTTTAATTATTTTTATTTTATGTGTATGAGTGCATTGCCTGCCTGTAGGTGAGTGCACCTATGTCATGCAATGCCACGGAGGTCAGAAGAGGGCTTCGGATTCCCCTGGAACTGGAGCTAAGGGCGACTTGTAGCCGCCATGTGGGTGCTGGGAATTGAATCCGGGTCCTCTGCAAGAGCAGTCAGTGCTCTTAACTGCTGAGCCATCTTTCCAGTCCCAGAAAATCATGTCTCTTTTACAAGCCTTTTTTTCTATGTGGAATAGGGGCATCAGTTTGACCCCCCTCCAATCCTCCCTCCTGAGGCAGGGTCTCACTAGTCCTTGGCTGACTTGGAACTTGCTATGTAGACCAGACTAACCTAGAACTCACAGAGATCCACTTGCTTCTGCTGGGTTGGCGCACACCTTTAGTTGGGAGGGAGAGGCAGGCAGATCTCTATGAGTTCAAGGCCAGCCTGGTCTACATAAGGAGTTCCAAGTCAGCTGGGACTACAGGGAAACCCTGTCTCAAAAAGACAAAAAAAAAAAAAAAGTGTGTGTCACCATGCCCAGTTATAAATCATTTTTATGTAGTAAAAAATTTTAAATGGTTTAATTGCCAGCATTTCTGACTTGCATAGTGTGTAGAAGGCAACATGGCAAAACCAAACCCAAAGCGGAAGTAGCAGGGTGTCTATTTGGGAAACTGAGGCAGGAAGATGGTTGGAAGCCATGGGTTGGAGACCAGCCTGGGCAATGTAGGAGAATCTGGCTCAAAAAAGGAGTTACTGAAGTGGTGCTGCAAGGGAACAGGGAGGAGACTGGGAATATACCTCAGCTGGTAGAGTGCTTGCCCTAGTATGCATAGAGTGTTATCCTCAGAACGCTGTAAAACCAGGTATGGTGGTACACACCTGTAATTCCAGTACCCTGGAGGTAGAGGTTGGAGGATCAGGTCAAGGTAATTTTCTGCTGAACTGTACATTTGAGGTCAATCTAGGATACATAAGACCCTATCTCAAAAAAATTGTTTTCAGGGCTGGTGAGATGTCTCAGGAGGTCAGGGCACTTGCCACCAGGTCTGACATTTGAGTTGGATTCCCTGGTATTTACCAGCTCCCTGCAGGTTGTCCTCTGACCTCTGCAGGAGCCCCTGCCCCATGTACACTGCATATACACACACATACACACATACAAAATAAGAGTACAAAATAAATGTTAAGCCTGTGCTCCCTCCAAAGTCAAGAAGATGTGGCTACCTTGGACCTTCATTGTGCCCAGAAGCAATTTCCTTGAATAGAATTATTCTGCCACGTCCTGGTCAACTTCACTGCTTTTCTGCTGCCAGGTATCTGACCCAGGTCCTGGTCCACCTGTGAGTCCACATGCACAGAAAAATACAGAAAAGAACTGGGAAAAAGTGAAAAGAGAATCAGAACAAGACACTAGGAAAACACACAAACAATAGTGAAGAAGAAAACATTTGAGTGAAGGAGGCTGGACACAATGGATCTTGGTTGTTTGCTTCCATTTATATAAATCCATGAGGATAGAGGGCAAATCAGTGGTTACCAGGGAGTGGAGGAGGCAGTCTATTGCTCCATGGAGGTTCCTTTGGAGCGAAAAGTACCTTTGAACTTCAGTTGTAATTGTGACACATTGTGAAAGTCACTGAATTGTATACTTTAAAATGATGAATTTTATGTGTATTTTACTATAAAATTTTCATATTTTAAAAATAATTTAAATTTAAAAAAATTGAACTGGAGAGATGGCTCAGCTTTTAAGGGCACTGACTGCTCTTGCAGAGGACCCGGGTTCGGACCCACACGGTGGCTAGGAATCATCCTTAACTCCAGTTCCAGGGGAATCCGAAGCCCTCTTCTGACCTCCAAGGCATTGCATGGCGTGGGTGCACTCACATATATGCAGGCAATACACTCATACACATAAAATAAAAATAATAAAATATTTTTTCAAATTTAAAATTACTTTATGTAAAATAAAATACAATTATGTGGTATGACTAAATAGTAAAAATCAAACAGGCCATTTAAAGCAAGGCATGGTGGTACACGCCTTTAATCCCAGTACTCGGGAGGCAAAGGCAGGTGGATGTCTGTGAGTTCAAAGCCAACATGGTCTACATAGTGAGTTCTAGGTCAGCTGGGGCTGCAGGGAGACCCTGTCTCAAAAAGATCATAAAATAAAATAAAAATAATACATAAGCCGGGTCCCCATGGTGGTGCACGCCTTTAGTCCCAGCACTTGAGAGACAGTGGCAGGTGGATCTTTGTAAGTTCAAGGCCAGCCTGATCTACATAGAGAGTTCCAGTCCAGCTGGGGTTACTGGGAGACTCTGTCTCAAAATAATAATAATAATAATAATAATAATAATAATATAATACATAAATAAATGAATAAAAATTTTTTTAAATGCCCAACAACAACAAAAGTCTGAACATGGGGGGCTGTAGCTCAGTGGTAGCTTGCCTAGAGTATGTGAGAACCTAGGTTTCATCCCCAGTACTGCTCCCCCAAAAAGTCTGTTAGTGTTCTAAAATGATAGCTTAGTTGGTAAAGTGTTGACCTTGTAAGCAAGAGGACCTGAGAACCCAGAACCTTAGCCTAATCAGTAAATTACAGGCCCATGAGAGACCTGGAGCAAGTTGAATAGCATCTGAGGCATGACAGCTGAGGCCGACCTTTGGCCTCCATATGCACACACATTTACACTTGCACACAAATTCTCACACACAAAAGAGTGTAATCCCAGCACTCTGGAGGTGGAGGCTGGAGGGTGAGTTACAGTAGCCAGTTTTAGCTACATATCGGATTCAAGGCCAGTCAGCTAGCCAGATTATTGGGTGTGGGAGTACGTCTTTAATTCCAGCACTTGGAAGGCTGAAGCAGGAGGATCTCTAGGTTGGAGACCAGTCTAGTCTACATAGCAAGTTCCAGGCCAGCCAGAAGTACCTAGTGAGAACCTGTCTCAAACAAAACAAAACATAAGGAGACTTCTTATCACCTTCTCCAAGGCTCAGGAAACATCACAGAAGATGGGGTAGGAAGAATATAAGAGCCAGAGGAAGAAGTGGAGTAAGGTGAGATGGAACTCTTTCTTAGGAGTGTGTCATTGTGGCTGCTCTCATGACTTCATAGCAGGTGTGTTTACTGACATAGGACCTGCACAGCCAAGACTGAGACAACAAAATCTGCCGTGGTGAAGAGCCCATGAAACCCTGAGGACTGATAGGCAGAGCTGATGGTAGCTGATGGGAGGTGTTCACAAGGCCCCATATCTCCCTAAGAATCTATAGGCAGATAATGGATGTTGGGGTAGGGGGAAAGACCTTTTTTTTTAATAACTGAGAATTTCATACATGCATATAAGATGCTTTGATCAAATCCATGCCCACTCCCTCCCCTCCAACTCCTCCCATATCTCCCTATCACTTGTCTCTGATACCTTCATGTACTCTTTCTATTTTATTTATTTTTTGATGGGGCTTTTGGCTTCTCTAACATCCCCCCCCCCGAAGAGGTAACCCTAAAATCTTTTAAGGATTAGATA